TGTATATTTGGCCCGTAGTAAACGTCCAGTTGCTGACACCTGATTTCTTCCAAAAGTTAGGAGGTTTTGCGGCCGGTCGGTTTATATATGAAATTTCAAGCAAATCGGTTGAATAGTTTCTTTAAAATGATCAAAAATGTAAAACAGGCCGCTAAAAAGTGCAGTTCCCGAGGCCTGATATATCCCAAAAGTTGATCGATCCGTGCCATGGTGGAAATAAACTTACATATAAAATTTTATAAAAATCGGTTCAGTAGAACTTGAGATACACGCGTGCACACACAGACCGACAGACCAACAGACCGACAGATGGACAGACCGACAGAACGACAGACCGACAGGTTGCTAAAAATAGTTTATTTACATTTCCCTACTATGGAGAAGTGCATTCCCACCGAAAACTCGATATGCAAAATTTGTTGCCATCACATAACCTACCTATTGTATATACAATACGGTCGGTAAAAATAAACTAACATTTATTTCTGTTTATTATAATTCTTCGAAAAAAAAAGGATCATAAATAAGAATTTTATACGTAAAATTTTCTTGGAAAATTTTCTGTTTTTCTTGTAAAACTCATATAATATGCGTTGTTTTGCAGAATTTTCACTTTTTAAGTACAACACGTGAATTATAACTATACGAGTATATAAATAAATTAAAAGTATGAAAATTAATATTTTCTGAGAAGAAAATTATTCAAGTTCACTTAAACCCTACAATTAAACTTATTCACAGATATATGTATGGCATGATCACATTTTCTATAAAGAAAGATGATCAATCAATTGCACTCATTCAAAATAAGTAGAAGCAAGCGTACGTGCAAAGTTGCAGCAAAATTGAAAAGTGATAATTAATTGGCTGAGATAGAGGTTTGAAAATTTTTTAACTAAAATACAGAAGACCCTTTTGCTATAACGTCTTCATATTATACATAAACCCTCCAATAAAGTCCAACTCATTATAGAAAAATTCGATTAAATCTCTAAAATTTTCAACACCATTTGCTCACTTGAAGTTATTTAATCATCGTTAAAAGTAATATTTTTTTATAAATAACCCAAAACTAAATAGATAATTTTTTTTATATAAAAATTAGATATGAACCTCGCTTTTAATCATTTCGCTTAAAGCCCTGGAATTACTATATCGATTTTAAAACAGCTACTACAATTTAACATCATTAGAAATTCTGCTTCCAAAATCAAAGAAAGCATCTACTATTAAATATGATCCAAACACATCTAAAAACAATAACTGAAACGTGTATTGTATTTTAATTTTAAATATTCAAAAATTTTCATATTATGCGAAATATTTTTCTATTATTCAGATCTTGTGTAGATCACATATAATAAATTATTTCTTAAAATCATAATAACACTAATACTCGGTCATAACTAGAAATATTTGGTTCAATCAACTATTTATTTATTTTTGGTGAGATCTATTGGAATTCAAATTTAAATTTATTTTCTTTTTTTCTTTAAAAATTTTGGCATATCATATATATGTATACATGTATACACAAATATCTAATATAAATATTTAATTGAACTATTATTATAATATGATTAGATCACTGACGATTTCAAAACCCCAAAAACTTATTTATACCTAAAAACAACTTAAAAACTTTTACTCTTCTTAAAATATGTGTGAAATATAAATTTCCTCATTCCATAGATAATGCTGACTCAGATTCAATCTAATAAGATTTCTGTTTACTTAAAATGAAATTTAAATGCTAAAAGGATTTCATTAATCAGTAAGTATATGCTAATTTAAGAGAAAAAAGAATAAAAAGAAAACCGAAAAAATTATCATTCAAAATTTACAATTGACAAAAATTTATTTTACCTATTTAGTGAAAAGTGTGACTTACAAAGAATGAAAAAAGTGTCTGTTTAAAATGAATGGGCGAAAAAAATTATAATTTTAAATGAGATTGAATTGAAGCGTTTGTTAAAGTAAAAAAAATTTTCAAGTGTTTGTGACGTCTGTAGATAAAAGAATTCAACAGAAATTAGAGGACTAATGCCAAATTAAAAAAAAAAAAGTAAAAACCTTTCAACAGTAAAAACCGACTGCAACCAACGGTAAAAACCAGCTGAGTTTAAATTTGTTTTTGAAATATCTACTGGTCATCGTTGTATGTCAATTACTCAAATATATCCAACATTTAATTAGGCAACGACTGCCAAGTTTCATGAATCTAGCTTGATTTTTTTTCCAAATATTTAAAATGAACTTTTGGAGTTGTATGGTAGCTACCCAAAACCAGTGCACCCATTCCATTAAAATTTTCAAAACATATGTGAGGTGTAATTGGACACACCCTTACAAACTTTGATACTCGTATTAATATGTCTATTAGTTTTTGAAATATTTAAAGAAAAACCTCTTTGAGTTTTATGGCAGTTACCCGAACCCGTTGTCCGAATTTGTTCAATCACAATAGCACCCGCCCTTAGACATGCCCTTCCTACGGACAAGCATATGTCACGACACGACTCCTTCAATAGATTACAAACTCCACACGAAAGTTAATATACTCTCTACAAACGTGCGGGCATAAAATTTATTGAAATTTCTTGTTGTATTCGGTTTTCATCCAGTTTATAGAATTTTAAAGAATAATTAATGAGACAAGAAGAAATTTTTGAATATTTTACTGCTTTAATCCAACGATTTCAACACAGTAACAACCACCACAACTTTGATTACTATAGTATTTTATTAATTAGTGTGATAAGTACTTTAGAAAGCCGTATAACTTACCCATATAGTCAATCTGAACACTATAATGATCAGTAATTTATAGTGTAAATTAAATTTTGGACAAAAAATGCCTATGTTTCAATTGGGTTAATATTTCGGAATCTACTTATTTTATTTCTTCAATTTAAAAACAAAAAATTATGAAAAAACTCAAAAAAATAATAGAATTTAAAAAAATAAGATTAAAAACTAGTTAATGAATCCAAAAAGTAGAGGTTTTTTCCCTACCTTCCACACAATTTCGTCTAGCAAATTCCGTCATGCGTTAAAATATATCATGTCTCTAAATTGGTTACTAATTTATTGCTGGTCCCGAACTACTTCTTGCTTCAGAAAATTTTCCCTAACAACAATTTCAATGAACATTTTCTACACTGTAACAACTTTTCAGTTCACACTAAAATATTATAAAAATAAGATTAAACAAAAAATTGCATACAATTAGGCGAATATTTTCTCCAAAACAATTTAATTTAAAAATTTTCACCTACTACAAAATATTTTTTCATGTTTAATCTTATAAAGCAATAATTATTTTTCACAACATAATGCATGGGTTCATAAAATTGGAACATAAAGAAAATTTTCAGCGATCAATAAATTATTTAAACAAAAAATAAAAATCAATAGTGTTATATCACATTTGGAAAGGAAATGCACCATTTATATTAAATTCATAGTATAGAAATTTCAAATAATTTTATGGGATTTTTTTAATTTTGTTTTTTTTTTTTTGTTTCTATTTGAAATATTTTAAAGGTTAAGTTAAATGTCATCATAATAATATAAAAGAAAAATTTTTTCCATAATAAATTTTCATTTTAATAATAATTAAATATTTTTATTTTGGAAAAATTTAAACAAATAAATTACAATAATTTTATTTAATACACAAAAAGTAGCCATGAATTTTCATAAAATAAACCGAGAATTTTGGCAAAATTAAATAAGGAAAACTTTGTTCTTATAGTTCAAATGATTTTGACCCAAAAATTGCTATCATTAATTCGAACAGGCTTTAAGTTAGCAAAATGCCTAATTTTAAAAATTTTTATTAATTCACTTGTAACTAAGTTTTATTAAATTTTTACTACCACAATATAAAATAATCGATAATCACTGATTTTTTTATAAAAATCAAATACAAATTATTAGAACATGAAAAAGATTTCCTCATTTTCAAAGCTTGTGTAATATAAGCAGGCAAATTTATAAATTTCAATTAGATACCATATATTTTTTTGGATAACCTTAATAAACTATAAAATATTTTATAAAGGTTAAGTTATTTCTAATTCTAAGCAATTTTTACCAACGAATAAGTGGCACCGTCTTGCAATTTAATTATTGAAAAATCACAATATATTTTAGTAGTTCAGAACAAGAGTGACTGGGTCTCAACACAAAAACAAATAATTCTATACTCATTTTGCACAAAATTCCCACCAAAGCTATAAAATTGCGTAAAACAATATGCCAGCGAGATTGATACTGCATTAAAAGCATGTTATGAAAAAAGAGATTATGAATAGACTTGTAATTATAATTTCATCTTAATTTTCGAATTATCACTAAATAAACTACAAACAAGAATATTTTATACAAAGAAGTATTCTTGTAGGCTTTAAATAGTTTTCTTTTCCATTACGATTTTAAAATCGAATAAATTCTTAGACTATCTTGCATGATTCTTTTAAAATAGAATAACTAGAATTTCATTTTATAACAAAATTAATTTTATTATTAAATGAATTCATACTCAGTGAATACATATTGGTATCAACTTCAAAATTTCATCTAACAATTGCTTTTCGAACTAATTTTCTTTGATACAATGTTAAAATCTGTAATAATATTTATATACTAAAGAAAAAATTGGTTAATTTCAAAGTTTTTAAGTACAAAATAAATTAAGATTTAAAAATATTGAATTTTAAATTCAAGATTATTAATTTAAAGCAACTTATTCCATGCCATGCTCTAAAACTAAAAAACATTTTAAAATTTTTGAATATAGTGTTGTCGTATATCATATAATGGAATACAACAAAATGATTATTACTTATCTACAATATGAGAGAATTTAATTTAATTTCAAATACACAAAAAAAAATTTTAAATATAATATACCGAAACATTCTTGTCTACAATAGATCAATGTCTATTAAAGCTTCTATAAAACTTAATATAATTAAAGAAAAATTAAAACTTACCTTATTCAAATTATTATCCCCGTTACTGATATTATTTAACTCTTTACAATCTCTAGTATCATTTGAATCATTGCTACTACCATCATTATTATTCATTAAAATTTCACTAACATTATGAATTGGCGGAATTGGTGACAATATTACCCAAAAATCTTCAGCTTTTAATTGATAATTTTTATTTTTTTTATTAATTTTTTTATTATAATTTTGTACTGTATTTTTATTATCATTACTTTTATTATTATTGCTAGTGCTAGTGTTACCAATTAAATTATCATTACTATTATAACTCTTATTATCATTATTCAATTGTAAATCATTTTCATTTTCAATTTCATTTTCATTATTTTCTCTATTTATCATATTTGAATTTCCCTCATAATCGTCATCATCAACATCATCATCGGTCTGTAATTGTTGTTGTTCTTCATTTTGTTGTTCATTCTCTTGCCGTTTTTTAATTTGTTGTTGTTGTTCTTGTTGCAATGCTTCAATAAATTTTTGTTTTCCGCTCATGCAAATACACGTGGTGTGTGGAAACATTTGTGCTGATTTTTTTTTTCTTTTATTTTCTTCCGTTTATAATTCTTTTTTGTTTTTGTTTTTTACTGCTATTTAGTATCTATATAGTCTTTCAATTTACTTTTTTTTAATTATTTGAATTTTTTTTCATTTATTATTCTCTAATTCTATTTTTAATTACTATTTGAAATTGAATTTTTAATTACTTTGGATTAATATTGTTGATTATTATACAAATATAACACTTATACATAATATGTATATATACAACCGAAGGTATTTTATTATTGATTAATTATTATTTAATAATTTTGTGAGCACAAATATTTTGAACAAATAAATATGTTTTTTTTTTTTTTTGAAATACAAGATTAAATATTAAATATTAAAGATTAAATATTATTAAAATATGAATATTTTAAATTGTAATATTAAATAGCTTTGAATATTTTAAATAGAATTGTATAGAATAAGAGAAATAACAATAAATACTTTTGAATATCTAGAGTATTATAACTATGGATTACAATTTTAACACAACACTATTTTCGATATTATCCAATTTTAGAATAAACGATATATGTATATAATATAATTTAATTATTAATTTCTTAAATCTAATAATACAATTTAATTAAGAATATTATGAATTTATAATTAAGTATTATTATATATTTAATATTGTCACATATATTATGTATAACACTTGAAATTTCAATTTATTTATTTTTAATTAAATTTTAATTTATTTATTTTTAATTAACTTTTTTTTTTAATTCTTCAAAATAATCGTAATTATTATATATCTATAAATATATATCTGTTATATATTTCAATCAACTATATTAATTAAATTGTTATACGTATTTAAATATATTTATTTATTAATGAAATTCCAATATAAATATAGATAATCTTAAAATTCACACACTATATACATTTTAAGTGTATTATTTAATTAAACTGAAATGAAATAACAATTTTTTTTTTATATACATATATAATATAATTAATATTCTCTTCTATATTTATTAATTATGATTCACTTTAATGATATAAATAAAAATAATTAAAAAAAAATAAAACAACAATATTAAAAAATACAAAATGTCATATACAAAATAACAATAATAATGATAATAATAAAATTGTATAATCTTATATGATAATAATGACAACAATATATATATATATATATATTATAATAAATTATTATTTTAATAAATAAATAAAATGATTAATTGGTAATATCCATCAACTATATTATTGTACATATATATGTATACGTACAATATTTATGTATTTCAATATTATTATACATTATATAACTGTATATAACTGTATGTATTAATATAATATACAATAATACGTTTTAAACATGTGAAATAGAATATTAAATTAAAAAAGACAGCAAAAAACAACAAGAAAAACGGTATATAAATAATAATAAAAAATACTCGGAAGAAATTAAATTTTACCATGAAATATCGTAAATTTTATTTTAATGATGAAAGCAAAAATTATATATTTGCACTGCAAAAAAATTACCGTTTTATTTCATTATTTGCACTTTACTAAAAATATTAACGCAACTGTTATATTTGTTATATTATTTTTCCTTAATATTTTTAATAATAAAATTAATTAGAGAAATACCGTTTAATTTAATTATATATAACAGTTAATTGAATTAATTTTATAATATCAATAAATTTATTTTAAATGAATTTTAATCACTTTACGATATTAATTAAAAGATTTAATTGATTTTATATAAAATGCATGATTTTAACATTCTCAACAAAAAACTACTATTAAAAATTTCTTAAATATTTTTCACTTATTATTTATTATTATTATTATTCGTTCGGTCATATAATACAACCTTTTATGTATGCATATACACTGACACAAATAATATTGAAAATACTGCTATTATAATTGTTATATTTTTTCTCTCGTTTTTTTTCGTATTGTATTCTTATACATACATACATAAGTATATGTGTATATAACGTGACAATAATAATATAATACTCGTTACCGAAATACAATAAATATTATAAAAGAAAGTGTTTTTTTTTTTTATCGTAAAAAATTTTAAATGGTATTTATCGGGCGATCAAAGGAAAACTAACGAAAATTTAAGTTTAGCCTTTTTATCTATTGCGATTTTTTATTTTTGTTTTCTTTTTTTTATTTCTTTTTCTTTCTTTGATTATATTATTGTATATTTTGTTTTGTGTTTTTTTCTTTCAAATTTTTTTATTATGATTTTTATTATATGTATATATTTTTTTTCTTGTTTTTCTCATACAAAAACTATATTATACATGATAGTCGTCATATCGTACACGATTACACCATTCTGATTTTTATTGTTTTCTTTTTGTTGTTATCGTTTTTTTTTTATAACAGTACATTTTTCAAAGTACATAACACATGTATTTTTCACATTATATATTTTACATTATATTTATAAATATATTTTTATGTATATATATATATATATATATATATACTGAGATAGATTCTGTAAACATATAAAAATATTATGTATATTTAGATATTTTTTCATGTAATAAATGACGGGGCTCTTTTGCGAGAAAAAAGTCACAAATCAAAAAAAGTGTCGGTTTAAAGACAAAAAAAAATGATTGCTTTTTAAACTATAAATACCAATAAATATCATGTCATGAAACGGCAGCACTAATCAAAATGCAGAATTTAAAAAAATTCAAATTGCCATCAGCTTGAAGCCATTAGTTTGAGAGCCATCAGCTGTTAATATCAAAAATGCAATTTATGTAAAATATTTTACATGCAAATAGTGAGAGTAAGAGAAGCTCTCACGTTTCTTGGCAATCTCAACCAACATTAAATGACATTTCAATTTACTCAACTAACTTTAGAGTAAAATAGTTTTCTATTTTGTTATCGCGTTCTAAATTAGAAACTGGGTCAATAGAAAAATAAGAGCGTATATGCATGAGTATGGCGAAATTAAAAATTAAAAAATTTCTCGACGGCACACCACAGTATCGGTCCTATCGTGAATGTAATTAAGATCCAAATTTGCCACAGTCTGCAAAAACATACAAATTGGAGGCGACGGGGAAAAAATTAAAAAAGAAATTTCTAAAGGGCAAGAATCGCAGCCAATTCGATTGTAATTATGTTGCTGATATGATTCTATATATACGATAAATACACAAATATTTAAGAAATTTCACTTTTCATATCACTTTACCAAAAAAACACGAATTTCGAGTTGTGACTCTCTTCACGCAGAAGAACGTTTTTTTTTATATTCATGTCATATGCTTATAATATACCGATACATAAAAATTTTATTTACATTTTTACCTATAAAATTGCATATATAATATATATACAAATATAATATATTCATACATATATATATTTTATAATAATGGAAAAAATAAAATATTTAAGTAGATTTTTTTTATTATAAATGGGATGAGTCGCTTTATTGGTCGAATCAATGGTAACAACTGAAAATGTGTAAAGAAATAAAGTTGGGTCAAACCAATGGTTTGTATTGTAGCACTTTTCCCTTCAACAAGTGAAAATTCTGCTTTTAAATACAGTCTATGCATATCTACCACACTATTAAAATTATTTTCATTCATATATAAAACTATTTCTAGGATTGCCTATATTTAGGATGACGCATATATGCAGTCTTTGAAATAAAGCAAAAATTAATATAAAAAGGGGTTAACATAATGCTCAATTTTAAGGGTTAATTGTGTGAGTTAAGAAAAATAATTATATTTTTTAGTTTCATGGAATTTACTGTTAGCTTTTTGCGTTTATAAAAATTTGAAAAAACTTGCGGTTTCGGAAATATAAGGTGTCAAAAATTCAAATTTTACAAATTTCAAGAGGCGATAACTAGAGAGGGGGTGGAGATGGAAAAAAATTTTCTTCTAACGAAATGAACTATTTGTTAATATCTAAAAGCCCCTGAAATTTCGAAGTTCTACATTATGGGGTCTAGAAGAAAAACGAGATCAAAAATTTGGAAAAAAAGAACTTTAGATAACAGTAAATTTGAACGGCCATTTTGTTTTTCTAAAGTTTAACTATAGTATACCGCGCTAGGGGAAGCAAGTCGCTGCCTTTCTGCGTTTGAAAAATTTCAAAAATGCTTATGGTTTCATTGCAACAAATATTTAAAAAAGGCCATTTTTAGGGTTTTGGGGGGGTATAACTTCTAGAGGAGGGGAGATAGGTAAAAATTTTGTTCTACGGAAATAAGTTTCTAGTAAAGATCTATGTACGTATGAAATTTCAGCTTTCTATCTTCAAGGGTGTAGAAGTTTTGTAAACAAAAAAGTGTCCACGGACAGACGGACGGACGGATGGACGGACGGACGGACGGACAGAGTGAAACTAATAAGCACTTTTTTCAAAAAATTTTTTGGAAAAGTGCTAAAAAGTATAGTTTAAAAAGGATAAATACTTTATTTTTTCTCTGTTATTTTTCTGTTTTCTTTAATATTTTGTTAAAATATTAAAAGCGAAAAGTGTGATTATTAAGTGCGGTGGAGTACAATTTAGGTAAAATAAGAATTATTGTGTTATTATTATTATTGTCATCATCATTATTATTATTATATTTTTTTTGTTTGTTTTTAATATGATTTTCTTTTTTACTATATTTGATTTTTTATTAGTTTGTTTTTGTTATTACTTTCTTTAATTTTTTGTTTATTTATCTACACTTAAATTCGCATACACAAGACAAAAAAAAACCAACTAAATTATACGAAATATATTTTTGTTAAATTTACAATGTAGTAATTTTACTATATGTAATTAGTATAGTAAGAAAGATTTATTAGAAGTGATTTACTACTGTACAAGCTACAACAATAAATTAGCATTATATAATATTAAATTTTTTCTTAAGCAATATTAATGTCTTAAATAACATACCAATATGATTTAATCAAAATAGAATGGCTAAAATATAATGAAATTTCTTTATAACTCGTCCTCACTTCGAGTTATTACACATAAAATTTTGCAAAATGTTAATTTTCGGTTCTTTATTTCTTCGACTTAGTATTAAGTTTCTAGACTCTTCAATAAAATCAAAGATGTAACATGTGCGTAGGAATAAATTTCGACTACAAATTATGACGAAAGATAACGAATATTAAAATTTTTCCTAAAATTATGCAAAATTAAATAATAATATGAAAATTCATTAATTATTTCAATAAATTATATATTTTATTTAGAGACCATAAAAGCAATCTCTGTATTTAAAATTCTGCATAAAAACAATTTTTGGATTTTAAATTGCCTAAGAAATATTTGCGATTTTACTACATATTGATTAACACTACATTTTCATATTACCAAACTCTTTTTCATTATTATAGACAATATTATCGTTTTTAAAAATGAATATCATTTAATTATTCACGTAATATCGTAAAATTATTCTGAAACTATTACTATCGTATAGGGTGAAT